CCCACATGTCTGGTTTTTATACCAACCCTGGCTGCTTAACTCCACCCTCAGGTCCCAGCCACCTTCCCTTTGGTGGTGACGGGATTTGTCTTTCCTGGTGTCCTGATGGCTTTGGTCTGGAGTGGGGGTGGAGTCCACAAAGCCTGCATGGAATTAGCTCAGGACATCCTTTCCCCCTAACAATCCAAGGGACCTTAGAGGCAACAGCTCACCCGGGGAGAGTCACGAGCCAAGTGCTGGTGGTCCACAGGCCGGCCGAGTCTTTTCGTTATTTGCGATTATTTGGCAAAGTGCCCTAGGAAGAGAAGGTGGGCCAACAGGAGGAAGAGGAGGATGGCCCCTCCAAGGGAGATGAGAAGAAGAAGTTGTTGAGGCGTAAGTGGCCACATGGATTGGAGTTACCAGGAAGCCCAGTAAGGGACTAGAGCAAGTCCCTGCTCCGCTCACGTGGCATGAGAGGCAGCGAGGGCCGTTCTCCCGCAGGGAGGGTGCCCCGGGTCGTGTATCAGCGGCCCTTAAGCCTTAGTGAGCTCGGAGGGGTTGCAGACTTCCAGTTCCACGGGGAGAGGTAGAAAGAGAGAGAGTGAAGGAGAGGGAGAGTGGAGGGTTTGGGACAGGGCAGGGATCGAACCCCGTTCCCGGCCAATGCACCAGATGAAAGGTTCAGAGCGGTAAAGAAAAGGAGAGCCAGGCTAAATTTCTCAAAGGAAGGGAAAATTTATTGCACCCCTGATGGCCTCAGGGACCCAAGGTGGGGGTCTGTGAAGCCGCGCACATTGTCAGGGGGAAGCAGGCTTTTATAGGGTGAGGAGAGGTCAGGTGGTAGACTGGGTTTGTAGGTCCCTGAAAAGATTTGTAGGGCAGGGGAGATTCATTATCTGAATCCTCTAGGCAGGCTTCTGCATTCCTGTTCCCAGGTGGGCTTCCTGGTGGGTTTTTGTATTCAGGCCTCCTGCATGGACCTTTCAGTAGTGAAACAATAGGTAACTTTTAAAAAAAAAATCATACAATTGTATGATTATCCTTACATTTACAGAAAGTTATTTTCTTAAAAATGCTTTGTTAGCATACAATGGTTATTAATATTCTAAAGTAAAGAAGTAATAATGCCAGGGACCACCCTCAGCAAACTGTCCTGTGAGGGGTTCCTGTAAGGATGAGAGGGCATGGACAAATCTGAGGGATTAGGGGGAGAGGGAGTGAGGAGATGCAAACACTTGATCAGGGTGCAGACATCATCCTGCTGAGGGTCTCAGCAGCCCTTTATTTATACCTTACAAGCAAACCCAGAGTACATAAGCATATGCATTAGAGCAGGAAGATAACAATCATCACATCTTCCTCTAGAACAGCCAGGGGTTTATTTGCCCTTCAGCAGAGGTTGTAACATTCTTTATTTTGAAGAAGGCACAGTTGCTAAACAAAAGTGTTCTTAGAATAGTCATTTATCTTAATCATTTTATTACTAGCAAAAACTTACGTGACTGAGACTAACATTTCTATATTTACTACAGTGAAGGATTAACTAAGGGCTGGGGAAACAAAGGACAGGAAGTTACCTGGGGGAAGGGAGACAGAGGGATTTTTTTCTAACTAACCTATAAAGTTGAGACTAACATATAACCATATTGTTACAGGGCAGGGAAAGGGGCAGCCCAGACACCACAAACCTGCCTATTCTAAATGGGTTCTGCCATCCACTGCATCAACACAAATCATATGAGACTTTAATGGGAAGGAACTTTAATACAATTAGGAAAAAATACAGAAAAGGCAAAGAATATAGTTTCTAAATCAAGCACCCAAAGTTACCCGTCGCCTCGTGGGTAAAAGTCCACCCAAGCAGGATTGGCCCAGAACAAGGCCCCAAAGCCTGCCACAAGTCTTAAGCATCTTCCAGTGGGGAGCCACAGAAAAGGATCAGAAATAACCAGACAAGTCTGGAGGGAAAAGAGCAAAATCAAAATCAAGATAAAAACAGCCATTGCCACCTCCCCACGGGTCTCTCACCCACATCTGTGTCACCCAGTCCACGACCAAAAGGCAAGTGCAGTTTCTTCACGTGTCTCTCGGCTCCATGTGCCTCCTCTGGCTCCATCCGGCTTCCTTCCTTCCTCAGTCTCCTCTGCAGCTTCTTCTCTCTCTGCTCAGCTCCACCCTCCACTTGGGTGGGGCAGGGAGCCTGGAACCTCCCCCTTTCTTGGGGACCACCCTGTTACAATCACCCCTTTTAATTTTTATTCCACCATATCTATGGTGGCACAGATCTCAGGGTGTAGTCTTAGGAGACAGGCTTTTTTCAGGGTTACAATGTGTGTAAGAGAAGCAACAATTAGTCAGCAGCATTGTCCATGAATGTCCAGTATGACAGTTTTCCATTACTGGAAAATAGTCCATTATCCAAGCCAAAAGAAAAAAAAATCTGGAGCATTAGAAGCGTGCAGGTGAATGTTACAGGGCAGCCCGGATACAAAATGGGTTGCCTGACTGTGGGTCCTCACCCACGCACTTAAAAGGACTTATCAATACTCTACTGCAGGCGGGCCTCCCCGGTGGCGCAGCGGTTGAGCGCTGGATTGCAAAGCTGCCCCCAGCCTCTGCAGCGCCGGTTCAATCCCCGGCTGCTCCCTGGCCACCTGAGGAGGGTCCCACGTGGTGCACAGACCTCTCCTGCCGCCCGCTGCTCCCCTCAGCAGTGTACTTCGGTCTTTCTGCCTGCTCTGCTCCCCGCTCTGGCTCTGTGAATTCTCTCACCCTCCCACGCTTCTGACTGTACCCAGTGCTTGTATAAATAAATAAAAAAATTTTAAAAATCTAAAAAAAAAAAATACTGCAGGCACACACATGAAAGGTTAATAAAAGGTTTATTTTTAATGGAAGAGCAAATGAGGAAATATACAACTCAGGGAGAAAAGTGGGAGACAAAATTTTAAATGTGTCCTACCCGATTCGCTGATCTGGAATTCCAAATGGCACTCTGAGAGCTGGCGCGAGCCAGGAGCCGTGAAGCCAGGAGGGAGCAAGAGAGCAAGAGCCCCCAAGGCCCCCCAAGGCCCCAAGGTTTTTATACCAAACCTGGCTGCTTAACCCCACCCTCAGGTTCCAGCAACCTTCCCTTAGGTGGTGACTGGATTTGTCTTTCCCAGTGTCCTGATGGCTTTGGTCTGGAGTGGGGGTGGAGTCCACAAAGCCTGTATGGGATTAGCTCAGGACATCCATTCCCCCTAACATGAGGACCCACAGCTAGGCAACCCGTTTTATATCGGGGCTGCTTTGTAACAATATGATTAAAGCAAAAAACAGAAGGCTTTTATACAGAAATCATCATCTAATATATATTGTTTTAATAAGATACTGATTCAATATTAAGGCACCAAGGGCATGGAGGGCGTCAGTGCCAGACAAGCCGCACTGACTCTTCCCTAGCCCCAAGCTCTCAATTAAGGGAGGAATTCTCCTAATCTAACAGAATCTAACCTATTACTCCTCTACTTATTTAATCAGCCTAGTTTTCATATCTAACTTTAAGATCAAGGGAAAATTCCTTTTTCTGTAAGATTGCTGATTGTTGTTTTAAGGAACTACAAATATTTCATCAGAGGCAGGGCCTGAGATGGTTATAGCTTTTGGTTCTCAGAATGGTTAATACGTGACATCAGCAGTGGTAACATTGACTATTCCCAAGTGCATTATTTGTGCTGTCAAGATTATTAGCTTAACCAGTCACAAAATTGTTGTTGGCTTATTCGTGAATGCATACTCCAACAGCTACCATACCCATTGTCACTGAAAGGGAACTGTTAAGGAAAAGCGAATCTTTCCCTGTTAAAGAGCCATAGACATGGAAATGTCAGTAAAAGACAAGCTTGCTTCCTTAACAGGCATATCTAAACAAGGACTGGCAGCCTGCTAGGCTGGTTGTTCTCCTGGGCCAGTCTCAAAGATCTGCATCCTCCCCCTTTTCCTGTGTCAAGAATTTGTATGCTAACTAACCAATGTTATCAATGAATTACGCAGTGCCATTTGCTGTCAGATTGGTTATTCAGTAATTGATCAAACAGCATTTGCAGTTTTACTTTTAAATGTGTATTTTAACAATGGTAGAAACTAGCCATAAACAAATGAGACTCTAGCAGGAGTCAGCTAAAGAGATTCCTGACTTTTCAGGAATCTGCCTCATGCCTGGACCTTTGTCAGACTGTTAGGGGGAAAGGATGTCCTGAGCTAATTCCATACAGGCTTTGTGGACTCCACCCCCACTCCAGACCAAAGCCATCAGGACATTGGGAAAGACAAATCCTGTCACCACCAAAGGGAAGGTGGCAGGGACCTGAGGGTGGAGTTAATCAGCCAGGGTTGGTATAAAAAACCAAACACATGGGCCTGGGGGGCTCACTATCGCTTGCCTCCTGGCTTCAGGGCTCCTGGCTCGCGGCCAGCTCTCAGAGTGCCATTTGGGATTCCAGATTGGTGGATCGGGTAGGGCGCATTTAAAACTTTGTCTCCCATTTTTCTCCCTGAGCTGTACATTTCCTCATCTGCCCTTCCCTTGTAAATAAACCTTTTATTAACCTTTCGTGTGTGCCTGCAGTAGAGTATTGATAAGTCCTTTTAATCGCGCGGGTAAGGACCCACAGTCAGGCACCCCGTTTTGTATCGGGGCTGCCCTATAACAAGACGACAGGAGTAGCATGGCTCCCAGCATAATAACATCTTTTGAAAGGTTTTATTCTAGTAAAGTAAATATTTAAAGCTATAACCCACATGAAAAAATTATACATGGGATCCGTAGTGATTTATGAGACTGTAGAGACATCCTGAAAGAAAAATGTTTGAGAATCACTGACCCAATTCCTGGGCCTGGATTCAGGGAGGCAATAGTGTGACAAAGGTCTTGGTGCAGGAGAGCAGGGGTCTCGGGGTGTGGCTCTCAAGGTCTCAGTCCCCAGAGCGCTGTTCCGGACTGGAAGTTGACTGTTGGGGTTTCCTCATCTCCCCAGTTTCACTTCTCACAACCTGGGCGGGTCCTCCTTCCTGGATACTGGTGAGTCACCCCAGGGCTCACTCCCCATTGCCTGGAGGTCTCCAGAGCAGCCAATCAGCAGCCCCGCGGCTCCAGTTCCAAAGCCCCCACCCACCCGCTGGGACTCCTTGGAGGCGCGTCCTGGGGGATGGGGGGCGCAGCCCTCCTGCTGCTGCTCGCGGTGGCCGCGGCCCCGAGGGAGACCCGGGCGGGTGAGTGCGGGTCGGGAGGGGACAGGGCGCTCCCAGAGGCGGGAGCGAGGGCGCGGGCGGGGTGGGAAAGGCGCGACCTCGCCGCCGCCCTAGTTGTCCCCCCACCTCGGCCCCGCCCCGTCCTGGCCCCTTTCCGTCCCCCGAGACCCCAGCCTCCTCTGGCCCCCCGAGTCCCGGCCATTTTCGTCCCGCAGCCACTTTTCAATCTCACTCGTCTTTCACCCACTTTCTGTCTCGTGGGCGCCCCCCGGGACTCGAGCCCCCGAAGGGGAGAAGAATAGGCCGGGTCTCCCCTCCCGCCCCCAGGCCCCCACTCCATAAGGATTTTCCACACCACGATGTCCCGGCCCGGCCCCGGGGAGCCCCGCTTCATCTCCGTGGTCTACGTGGACGACACGCAGTTCCGGCGGTTCGACAGCGACTCTCCGGGCCGGAGCTTGGAGCCGCGGGCGCCCTGGGCGGAGCAGGTGGAGCAGGAGAAGCAGGAGGAGTGGGACGAGGACGCGCGGATCCTAAGGGAGCGCGCACTGTGGTACCGAGCGCGACTGGACGCCCTGCGCGGCCTCTACAACCGGAGCGAGACCGGTGAGCTGGCGCGGGTCCGAGCCGGGTCAGCACCTCCATCCCCACGGACGGGGCAGGGGTGTCGCTCAGGGTCTCCCCCTCCAGGCTTCTCTGCAATTGCCCGGGAACAGCCCGCGGGACTTTCACCCCATTTCATTCTGTTTAGTTTATTCAGGGCGGGAGGGGGCGCGGGCGGGGTGACCACGGGGTGACACTGGCGGGGACAGGGTCTCACACCTTCCAGATGATGTCTGGCTGCGACGTGGGGCCCGACTGGCGAGTCCTCCGCGCTTACAGACAGTACGCCTACGATGGCGCCGATTACCTGGCCCTGAACCCGGACCTGCGCTCCTGGACTGCAGCGGACACGGCCGCTCAGATCTCCCGGCGCGAGTGGGAGGCCCTGGGTGAGGCAGAGAGATTCAGAAACTATTTGGAGTACTGGTACTTGAGGTGGCTGCGCACATGCCTGGAGTACGGGAAGGAGACTCTGCAGCGCACGGGTAAGAGGGGCCTGGAGGCCTCCCGGTCCCCCCCTGCCTGGAGTCACTGCGGGAAATGAGTCCTCTCTCTAGTCCCGAGAGGGGGCTCCCCTGGGTTTCATGTTCTGCACTAGAGAGACTCCCAGAGACTCCGGCTTCTCCTGAAGGACAGTGAAGGGATCCCGTCTCTCCTGAGAAAGACAGACAGTCCCTGACATCACACGTCACCGGGTCCTTTTGACCAGGGGCCTGTTTGAGAACCACGAGTTTCTCTCTCAGTCTTGTTTCTGGTCTGAGAACATTTTCAGTTATGTGATTCCTGCTTTTCTGTGTCATTCACCTTCCACCCAGGTCAGGAATAAAAAGTCTGTGTTCCACTCCCTCTGCTTCATCCTACCCTGGGTTTTCATCCTCATTCTAGTACTATCTAAGAAATAGGAGACTCTCACAGATTCCCCAGATTAGCCTGTTTTTTACATTTTTATGCTTCTAGCTGTTACAGGGCAAACCCTGATAAAAAATGGGGTTTCCTGACTGTGGGTCCTCACCTGTGTGCTTAAAGGTGACGTATGAATGCTAAACTGCAGACACACATAAAAGGTTGATAAAAGGTTTATTTACACGGTAAGAGGAAATGGGAAATGAATAACTCAGGGAGAAAAAGAGGGAGATAAGTTTGTAAATACGTCCTACCCGTTCCGCTGACCTGGGATTCCAGTGACCCACAGAGGTGGTGAAAACCTAGCACGCCTCGTGGCCAAGCCAGAGACTCCCGGCCACATGACCAGTTAAATACCCAAATGGAGAGCCTAGTTGCTTAACTCCACCCTCGGGTCCTCCCAACCTTCCCTTTGGTGATATGGGATTTGTAGTTCCCAGTGTCGTGGGGGTGGAGTCCACAAACCCTGTATGGAGTTTGCTCAGGACATCCTTCACCCCTGTCATTCCTGCCACGCCAGTTGTCTTGTCCATTGTGAGGATGGTCTCATGAGATTCTTCAGTGTCCATGGAGGAAACACAAAGTGAGTTTTCTGATTTACCACCTCAGAACCCCCAAGGACACGTGTGACCCACCACCCCACCTCTGAGTATGCGGTCACCCTGAGGTGCTGGGCCCTGGGCTTCTACCCTGCGGACATCACCCTGACCTGGCAGCGAGATGGGGAGGACCTCACCCAGGAGATGGAGCTGGTGGAGACCAGGCCTGGAGGAGATGGAACCTTCCAGAAGTGGGCAGCTGTGGTGGTGCCTTCTGGAGAGGAGCAGAGATACACGTGCCACGTGCAGCATGAAGGCCTGCTGGAGCCCCAAGTCCTGAGATGGGGTAAGGAGGAGGATGTGGGCAGTGATGTTGTTCTCAGGGCCATCAGGAGCCCTTCTGGAGCCCTTCTGGAGCCCTTCAGAGGGTCAGGATAAGGTCTGGAGCTCAGGGTATGATCTTCCCTTCCCTACCAGTGCCCCCTCCTCAGTCCTCCATCCTCACCGTGAGCATCATTGCTGGCCTGGTTCTCCTTGTTGCTGTGCTCACTGTAGCTGCAGTGGTTGCAGCTGTGATGTGGAGGAAGAAGCACTCAGGTAGGGAAGGGAGTGGGGGATCTTGTCCACTGGGGGCTTTCATATCCCAGGGAGAACTTGCCCTGCCTGGTTAATGGGAATTACCATCCACACACATGTGTGTTGCCCAGAGGGCATTTGGTCCAGTCCCCCCTCACCTCCTTTCTTCATTTTTCTCAGTCCTGACCTGGGTCTTTAGTCCCAGTTCTGAAAACTTCCTGTTGTGCAGGATTAAAAGATTCCTTTAGGTCTTCTGACCTGACTGCTCCCTGGTCTCCCATGATGCTTCTTCCCACAGTAGGACAAGGAGGAAGCTACACTGAGGCCGCAGGTAAGTGTGGATCTGGGGTTTGATCCCTGAGCCCCTGGGGACAGTGTAGATGGACTCCATGGGGGAGTTACCCTCATCAGTCCTTCCTGTGGTCTCATCTCTGACCAGGTTCTGTTTTGTTCTCAACCAGGCAGCGACAGTGCCTATGGCTCTGATGTGTCTCTCAGCCCCTAAGGATCTTTTACAATGAACCCGATGAGGCTCCTGTTGTGCGCACCCTGGGCAGCAGGGTGATGGTGTCACTGTTGTTCTTAACTGTGATATTGAGCATTTGTTCATATATTTATTTTTCTATGTCTACATAAGTTGCTATGTCTATAAATAATAATAAATAAAATATAATAAATAAAAAAATTTATTTATTCATGCATACAAGAAATGGGGTACAGGCCAGATGCACGGGAGGTGATCAGATTCACCAGAGACAGAGTGGGGAACAGAACAAGCAGACTGATGAAATACACTGCTGAGGGGAGCAGCGGGTGAGACAGGAGAGGTCTGCCGCACCATGTGGGATTCTTGCCTGCTGGCCGGGATCTAACCTACACTGCAGATGCTGCGGACAGCCTCACAGTGCTGCGCTCAACCACCAGCGCCACCAAGGGAGGCCTGGAAGTCAATTTTTTTTTTGCTATATTTATAACACTGTTTTTTTGTCCTTATTAAAATTGGGTTATATCTTGCTGATCATTGAGTTTTAAGCATTATTTGTAAATTCTTGATACAGTGCTTTATCAGTTTTGTAATATGCAAATGTTTCTCCCCACTCTGTGACTGAACTCCTTTACTGACGGGAAAGCAAGCATTATTGTCCAGACAGAAGCATGGATATATTTTTTTAGAAAAGAAAAGATAAATTTCTAATTGGTTTTGAGCAGATACTGGCTGACTGGGATGTTGGGGGATGGAAGGGAATGACTGACTTATGCATATCCTTGAGTGTTATTTAAATGTTCTTGCATGAGCATGAAATATGCTTTCAAAACTAAATTACACTTCATTCCTCAATTTATAAAACTCTTCACACATCATGTCCAAATCACGTATTAAGATCAGACTGGCACGTGGGCTACAAGTGAGGGACCCGCACATCATAGTTGCACAGTCATGGTTTCTCTCAGGGGTCACCCTGGTGTTGTTCGTTCTGTGGGTGTTGGACAAATGTATAATGACCTGTGTCCATCATGAGAATATCATGCAGAGTATTTTCACTGTCCCTAATGTCTTCTGTGCTCCAAGGAAGCAAAAGCAAAAAAGAAACCAATGGAATCACATGAGACTAAAAAGCTTCTATATAGTGGGGGAAACTCATTAAAATGAAAAGACAATATCAAGTTGCAGAAAATATTTGCACACCATCAATCCAAAAAGGAGTTTGCTGCAGGAGGCCTTGTTGCTCCAGCCAGATAGGATGCTGACAAGCAGCTAAGAGAAAAGGCCTCACACCGTGCGGCTGAAGATCTGGCATCCCTTTGCTTTTTGTTCTTGGTCATAGAGAGAGAAAAATTTATCAGAAAGTATATTAGGCAATAAATTATATGTATCAGCATACTGTAAGTAAATAGCACGAAAAATTGTTTGTTTAGAAATTAGTTGTTGGGCAGTTTGGCCCACTTGACAATGGGAGATGGTTTGTTGAACATGCCTGACAAGCATTACAATACAATAATTATAGTGGGTCCTTCTTTTGCCTTCCCTTGAAGTTTCTTGGGGAAGTTTTTAAATGAAGCTATTTGAGTTAGGAGTTTCTAAATAAAAAAAGTTCTGATAGCTGAGTAGCAGCCAGCTCCTGCTGTGAAGGCCATGAGAATAAAAAAGGTCTTTTCTTGCTTAGGCTTTGGCTGATAGGGATGTACTGGCGGCTATCCACTGTCTTAGGTTATTGTTTGGTTGAAACAATGAGTTCTAGTGTAAGGCTTAGTTTTTTATTAGCCTTGAAGGTTGCCTTCTTGCTGAGAGCACGTAGTGGCCAAAAGCCCATAGAATAAGAGATGCACTGATTGTTTCTGCTTTGTTTCTGTGCACATGATAATGTCATCTCACTGCTTGCAAAAAATGTATAAATAAAGAACCTGCTGAGCCTCTCGGCAGAAGATACTAGCACCTCACCAAGTGTCGGTGTCTCCTCATTCCCTTCCCCTCAGCCCCTAAGTTTCAGTCCTTTCGTTTTCGCCGAGGCCGTCTCATCCTTTCAGGAACCCCTGACACGACATTTTGCCGGAGGCTGGTCCCCGGCAGGAGTTACTATCCAAGACCTACAAAGAACTGCAAAACAAGAAAACAACTCAATAAAAACAGGGCAGAGGAGCTAGATGGATACTTTTGTAAAGAAGACATACAGATGCCCAATAGGTACATGGATAAATGTTTGTCATGTGCTGTCAGGAAAATGCCAATTAAAACCACAATGAGTTACCCCCTTACACCTGTGAGAATGACCCACTGAAGGGTGTGGAGGAAAAGGAACTCTCTCTGGTACATGGTGGGTGGGAATGAAGTCTGGTCCTGTTAGTGGGCAGAATGAGGGTTTTCCAGGGTTTCTCAAACCTGTACACTCTACATGGGATCTGCCATCATCTGAATTAAGACAAAACATACTCTAAAGCCTAAGACCTTCAATAGAAAAGAACTTTAATACAATTAGTGTGCAATAGAGAGAAGAGAAAGAATATAGTTAGAATAGTTCCCAAGTGAAGCACCCAAAGCTACCCGTCCCCTCATGGGTAAATGCCCAGAGAAACAGGGTTGGCCCAAAGCAGGCCCACCGGGCCCGAACGCCCGCCACAAGGGTAAGGCACCTACTGGTAGAGACCCATGGGACAGGGGCAGGAGGGGCCAGTCAAGTCTGGAAGGAAAAGAGCAAAATCAAAATCCACATCAAGACAACAGCTGCCATTGTCAGCGTCTCCATGGGACTCTCACCCAAGTCTTTGTCTCTTTCACATGTCTCTTTCTGTGTCCCCAATTCCCTGGCACAAGTCCAAGCCTGAGGAACAAGCCTGGCTGCTTCTTCACATGTCTCTCTGCTCCATGTGCCTCCTCCAGTCTTCTTTCCTCATCTCAATCCACGTCTTCCTCCTCTTTCTTAGCTTCTCATCCCTGCTCAGCCCCACATTTCCTTGGGTGGGGCGGTAACCTGGAACCTCTCTTTTCTACGGATAGCACATTGGTCCTGCCCCAATGGAAAACAAATGAAGTTTCCTCAAAATATTCAAAATAGACCTGTCCCATGGTCAAGCATTCCATTCCTTGGTATTTATCCAAAGAACGTAAAATGCTAATTCCGAGGAATATGCGCCTCCTATGGTCACTGCAGCACTGTCTACCATAACCAAGCAATGGAGACTACCTAAGTGCCCAACGGCAGGTGAGGGGATAAAGAACACAAACCGTATACACAATGGAATACTACTCAGCCATGAAAAAGAAAAATACTGACTTTGCAACAAGGATAGATATGGATGGGATTATGCTAAGTGAAATAAGTTTGAAGGAGAAAGTTAAATACTGGATGATTTCATTCATATATGGAATATAAAGAAACAAAGCAGGCACAGGTGAAACTAAACCAAAACAAACTCTAGAAATATGACTCTGGAATTGAAGGTATGGGGTGGGGGTAAGAGCAGGAAACAAGGTAGGAAGAGGACCCAGTGGACTATGGTGAAGACTGTGGGTGCCCTTATGGTAGGCGTGATGTGGTAACAAACATCTGAAAAGGGGTGACCCTGGGCCTCTGAACACATACAGTGTGTAAAGCAATGTTACCTCAACTGAGTAGTACAATGAGGGGAAAAAGAAACGAAAAAAGCAAATTGTCTCCTCAGTCACTGCAGTCACTGTCATGCAGGCTGAGGGGCTGGTTTCCCACAAGGTCAGAGGCAGGAGGTGCAGGGACTCCTGGGGTTGTTCAGACCCCGCTGAGTAGAGACACTGCAGAGAGGGCGGCTCTGAGGGGACCAGAGACAGAGGGTCAGAGTAACCCCAGTGCTGAGTGAGGGTCTGGTTCCCAAGGAGAGTGTGTGTGTGTGTGTGTGTGTGTGTGTGTGTAACAAGAATGACAGGATATACAACACAAGATGATGGGAAGACAATTAACATCAAGCCCCAGAATGAATGAATTGAAATCGCACACAGAGTAAAGAGTGTGAGAACAACACCTCAGTAAATGCAGTTCTGTGGAGAAGCAGTTTCCAAGCAGGACTGAAAAGGCATTGGACCTGAAGAAGAGGCTGAGGTTTAGAACTATCTCATGGTTGGTTTGAGGTGTAAGGAGCTGGGCAGGACCCCTGCTCCAGGCCCCTGCTAGGATGTGGTGGTAACTTCACCCCTGACAGCTCCCTCCCCCAGTCACCAATGTTCTTCTTCAGTCCCCGACGTTCATCTTCTTTGGACTCACCATAGAAAACCCACGGGTCTCAAAATGAGGTTGTTCCATGCACTTCAGCTACTTTCTCTCTAGACCAGAACTGGAGGGAACCACACAGGGGGAGGGAGGAATGTGTGTCTCCCACTGGCCTGGCCCAGGGGCAGGATTAGTCCAAGTCACCCTAGTTCCTGAGCTGAGCCTTTGTCCACAGTCCAGGAAGGGAGGGAGATGGAGCAGGGTCTGTTGCGTCGGGCAACACCACACTGATAAAGAAACGGGCGTCGTGGAGCAGGCTACATGATGCAGGATGCTGCGGAAGAGGAAGATCCGGGCCGTTTTTATTGCTAGAATAATCATACAGCGTCAGTTACGTGGGGCAGGAGGACGAGGAGGAAAGGATGGGTGAAATAAGGAACGTCATCTTGGGCTTCAGGGGGACAGGAGTCTGCTGACCAGATAATTCTTATCTGCTTGATGATCAAGTGTTGGAATCGAAACCAGACCCCAGACCCTGGACCATGGGCCTAATCTTATCAACAAGGCGGTCCCCTGGTCAGCTTCTGGGCTCCCTTGTCCCACCTCGTGATGCATCGCCTTCCCAGGGTGATCAAGCTTTCTCTCTTGCAAGATTTGAAAGGCACCTTGTAAGGTCTGGCTCCCGTGACTGAGTGACCGGGCAGCTCTGACCTTGTGCAGGAATGCAGAACTGCAGGTCACACAAATGGCAGCTGAACAGGCTGCTCAAGTTTAGCGGACCCACCAGGGTCTCCCTCAGCTCTTAGGGGAAGATGTAATGTTAGAGGACGAACTGACGTTTCTTTCTCATTCTGGGGCTCTCCCGTCTCCCCAGCATAACCCTCCATGTGCAGCAGGGAGAGGATGTCAGGTCAAACCCAGGCTGCTTCCCCCACGCCTCTCCCCACTAGTGTTCAGGATGCATCTGCTTGTCCGCATGGCCGCGCTGGAGGAGAGCACGGAAAGGTAAGTATCATTATGGTATTTGCTACTGGGATTGGAGGGAAGTTTTTTTTTTTTTTTTACTATAAAAGATCTTTTATTTGGGTTGTTGCTGTAACAAGGCTGTGCAATTAGAAAAACACCTGGGAGAAGGAGAAAGTGTTGAACTGAGTTTTCATAATACAACCAAAAAAAAAAAAAAAGGGAAAAAAGTCAACAGTGAAAATAAGAGAAACATTTGCATGAATTATTCAGTTTAACCCACGACACCCTGTGAGTTGTCAGATACCATGATCCCAGGGTAACTCATGACTGTGGGGAGTGAGACTCAGAAGCGCAGCCCAGGCCACACATTGGGCGACCCAGGGTTCTGACCACCCAGGGCCCCCTGCTGTGGCAGCTGCAGTGAGGAAGGTTCACCGAGCTGAGGGGGCTGAGGCCTCAGTGTGGTCACATCCACTGGAAACATCCAGAGTGAGGGTTGGGTCCTCTTAGTGACGGGCACCCACTACCTGCCCAGGCGCCCTTCTACTGACAAGTCAAATTAAAAAACATTCCTCCTGATGTTGCTCTGATGCTGGAGGCAGGTGGGGTGGGAGAGAAAGTGGAGGTGATGCCAGGCCCTGTGAGCCCTCCCTGCCTGGTGTGGGGAGCAGAGAAGGCAGGTGAGGGTCCATGTTGAGAAAGGCCTGGTGTGCCGTGGGGAGCAGAGACTGGAGAGGGTGAGAGTGTGCGGGGCAGGGAGGAGGCTCCTGCGGTCTGACCAGGGCAGGTGTGGTCACCTCCTCCCTGAGCGTCTCCTCTGCCCTTCCTTGTTCACCTTCCTCACCCACCTTGCAGGACAGTCATGGCCTTGGGGTCACTACTGGACCCCCCTGGAAGAAGTGACCTGCAGCATCTGCCTGGAGACAGGAGGCCCCTGGGAGCACCTCCTGTGGCCACAGCTTCTGCCAGGCCTGCTCTCAGCTGAGTGACTCTCTGACCCGCCGAGGTCACTGTGTGCTCTCCACGCTGCCAGGGGCCACCACAAGAGGGAACAGCAGATTCAGTTTTATTCTGGTCAGTTTGTCCTCTGGGGGCAGACTTGCCCAGGGGTCATTTTCCTGCTTCTACATTTAATCTGGATCCCTGCAGCCTGGTGCAAGTGGTGGGGTATGACCAGCTTTGCTGAGGCCCGCTTCAGTAGCAAGCCTTGACAGAAGCCATGGGGAGAGAGGCCCATGGCATTCTAGGCCCAAACTCAGCATGTGGACTGTGGGCCTCCCTGAGCTCTGGCAGCGTTGGCCTGGGCTGTGCTGTGGCAGTTGGGAGACCAGCCTGGTGGGCTGTGATAGAGGGGTGCCTGCTCTGGATGCTCAGGTGAGCATGTGGCCCTGCTGAAGCCCACTCCCACTGTGATCCCTGATGCTGGGGGGAGAGGGGACCTTACTGCGTGCAGCCTACGGGCCTGTTTGATGCCCTCTGAGTGACAGCAGCCTGCACTCCAGGGTGAGACTATCTGACCTCAGGCATCTGGACACATGGGCAGGTGTTTCATTTGAGAACACAGTGCCAGAATTGTAATGGACCAAACAGATTCAGGCTCTGACAGGTGTCATTCAAGATATTTTTTGTTTTGTTTGTTTGTTTTAAAAGAGATTTTTATTTTTACTTACGTATGCACACAAGAATGGGGTTTAGGCCAGAGGTGTTGGGGGTAAGAGGATTCACCAGAGTCAGAGTAGGGAGCAGAACAGGAGGATCTACTGAAATACATTGCTAAGGGGAGCAGCGGGCTAGACAGGAGAGGTCTGCTGTGCCACGTGGATTGGCTCCCTGGCCAGGGATCGAACTCATGTTGTAGTGGCTGGCAATACTTGATTGTGCTGTATCTTTAACCCCTGCACCACCAGGGAGCACCCCACCATTCAAGGTTTTTGAGACCATCCAGGCCTCTAAATGGACCAATCTGATTGGAGCTCCACTGGCACCAACCAAACAGCTGGGATTATAAAGGGGCCAATCAAGCTTGAAAGGTGGCACCCTGAAGAGGATACAAGCCAGAGCAGCAGCCAGCCTGAGCCACTTGATAGACAACTACTGGTCAGATTTGTCGGTACTCCTAGAAAGATCTTTGCCAAGCCCTCTGCAGAGTGTGAGACCTTTCCAGACACCTTTCTGAGACCTGATGGCTACACCTGCCTCTGGCCCTGGCTCTAACACCGCCTGCAGAGAACATCGTCAGGCTGTCCCTGGGGTTTCTAAAGGGGCTGTTTGCTGGTGGCTTATGCCCAGCCTCTCTAAGGCTGTTTGCTGTTGGTACAATGGCATCTTGATTAAGATGTAAACTGGCATCTCTGGCACCATTGCCTGCTGGACCAGTGCTGACCAGCACTGCTGACCTGTATCTGGCCTCCTC